TTTTGTCTACCAAGAACACGTATGTTTTGGGCTGGGCTGCGGAAACCAAAGTTAACTGTGTCGCCGATGCAATGGCCCGCGATCGACGGGAAAGAACAAAAAAGATGCCCCATTTTAATAACAACGATTTACTTCATAGCGATTCTGATATTCGTCAAGATCGATTGTTTAAAATCAGACCCACGTTAGAAATTCTTAAAGCAAAATTCAACCACTGCATCAAGAACAAGTTTTAGGTATCGACGAGCAAATGGTTTCGTGTACTGGGAAGACAGGGCTGAAACAATATCTTCCCAAAAGCCTCACAAATGGGGGTATAAAATATTTTTGTTGTGTGGAAAAGATGGTTTGATGCACAACTTTGAAATATCTACTGGAAAAATACATCCTGTGTCTGGTTACCCTGATCTCCGAGCTAGTGCCAACATAGTTACATTTATTCTGTTTTGACGATTGGTTTACGTCCATACATTTGATGTTCGTTCTCGCCAAAAGGAAGATCTATTTTATTGGGAAGGTGAGACAAAACCGGTTATTTGGATGCGAGCTGGTATCTGACAAGAATTTTAAAAAAGAGGTCCGGGATGTTATGAGGAAAATATGTCATGTGTTGAGGGCACTGAAATAAGAGTTATGAAATGGCATGATAAACGGAGTGTAACTATTGCCAGTTCGTTTTCCTGTTGGATGCTTTTATACCCTACTATAATATACGTATTCAGTCAAAAAAGTACTGCCTGAAGATCATCTTCCACCTGGTTGATTTGGCTATTGTAAACAGCTGGATCCTATACAGAAGAGATTGGGAGTTCCTGGGAGTTGCGAGTAACAAGCAACGAGATCTTTTGTCGTTTCGAAGTTTTTTGACAGAATCTCATTGCAAGCCTGGGAAAACATCGACTCCACTTAACGAGGCAGACCATTGTCTACTACCTCACCAGAATCAGAAGCACAGTTACTCCACAGCCACACCCCAACAACCGACACCACTGGTCATTGGTCTGTGGTAGAAGCTAAGAGACAGTGATGTCGTTTCCCTGGGTGTGATAGCAAGCCGGTAATCAGATGTACCAAATGCAGAGTATATCTATGCCTAAACTTTAGAGCAGCGTTTCCCAACCTTTTTTGGTCGCGGACTATTTTCTCACCGGCGAAACCTTTTGCGGACTCAGGTGCGTTAATTGCAACCGTATACTCTGTGTGAACAGGCAATAAAACCGAACACAACAGAAATTTAACAATGGTCTTTTCTGTCGCACAATATTTAATCCATGACAACGACGAGAATTTAAGATGTATTCCTATTTTAACTTAATTGTGTTCATGATAATTCGCGGTTGCGTCGAATTACGACAAGATGAAAGCATTACTTCTCTAAAATACAATGGCAATCTGTGAACATAATAATGTGAGAATATATTGCCCGATTATACTTAGTTTTGATACATATTTTTTGCGATCTTGCGAATTTGTTATCTCCGTTAGAAAAATCCTACTATCTGCTATAAATTTTTAGAAAGTACTTGATTTAGTACTTATTAAAATATATTTAAAGTATATTAGTAAATCGAAAATACATATTCATCGCCATGGTTTATTATTATTAATTTTATTGTGATCATTTTAATCTGCGTTTGTGTTGACGAAATAAAAGCAATATATACTACTCAGAAAATATGATGACAATCCGTGTCCCGTGAGCACTAAAATGCGTGGTAAAGTGCCCGATTATATTTTGTTTTGATTCGTTTTTTTGTGAATTCGTCAAATCTGAGCTGTTCGTACAACACCTACGGCAGTACTGTACGTACCAATGTGGAGGCAGTAAAGCAAAGAATCCTAAGGGAAAATGCCCTGGTATGGTAGCATCCAAAATTTTGCGATTTGCAATGTCTAAAAAGCGTTTTTAATCGGTAGCGGACCATCATAAAACAAAACTTATGGTGTTTTTCGTTTTATTCTTAGTATTCTGTATTGATGCTTTTCAATTTAGAAAATTTGGGTTGCCACCATTGACACCAACCAGAAAATAAAATTATTCCTCTTTGTGAGAACTCGCGAGAAACACCACTTAGGTATTTATCGAAGCGTGTGCAGACTCGTGTTTTCGTCGGAAATCCGCAAGTGAACCCACGACAATTGCACCTGCATACTATTGCACCTATGGTCGAGGGTTTCATTTTGTGATGATCAATAGACCATATTGTAAAAAAAATTTGAGAATTGAAAATAATATTATCCGTTAATCAAGGTTTACATTTGACGCCAAAGATCTTCGGTTTATGGCAATATCACAAAACAAACATTCAACTAACAACGTACTGCTGGCATATACTGGTCGTTATTACTGCAACAGCTTAAGTGTTTCAAAAGTATAACAGCCCTGAAGTTCAATACATTCGAGTATCTTTTGTTTGATTATTTCTGGCTCAAGCCTCGTTTTTAATAGGTTTGTGTTTTTTGTAATTTGTTTTTGTGTGTGCGCTAGTGGGCTGGCACATGATATCTCTCATGTTTTAAACTTTTTTAAGGTTTTGCTCGCCCTCCAGAATTCTCCATTTTAAATTTGTGTATATTATGGAGTATTCAAATAAACTATCTATCTATTTAAATCGCAACGTGGCTGAATTTCTGGCCCGTTGCGGACTCATTCAAACGCTCCGTGGAATCAGTTGAGACCGCGGACTCGGGTTGGGAAACACTGCTTTAGAGAAAGCAATTTAAAGTCACACCACCATTTCAAAAACTCGCTGATGGCAAACAAGCGCTGCTTCCTCACTTTGGGGTAATTTATGGGATAATAAATGTTATGTAAAAATGATAGTTAAATTTGAACCATAAAAGTACTAGTATTTGAGCATGTCCTTACAAAATTGATTTTAAAAAAACCCATACATTAACCGTATCTGCTTATAAGGCGCACGATCAATTTTGGAGAAAGTGGATTTAACGTGCGCCTTGTGGTCCGTAATGCAGTACGTTTCGTGCTTAGTTAGCATCAATCACTTTGTTTTGGAAGCGAGCGCGACGTCCATTGAAATGTCTTGCAAAGACGCGACTGCGCTCGCCACGGCTTGGGAATTTAGTCAATCATTTATCGAATACGAAATCGCACTGTGAAGCTAGTAGTACGCTGGTTGCACACTAAGTTCATCGTGCTACTAGCTTCACAGTGATCAAGCAATGAGCTAACGCAGCGAAATTTACTGTACGAAATCAGCAGCAATAGCCTACAATGCGATTACGGTCAGAGCGATCTGTAAAGCTAGTAGTAAATCGCACTGTGAAGCTAGTAGTACGCTGGTCGCACACAAAGTTCACCGTGCTACTAGCTTCGCAGTGATCAAGCAATGAGCTAACGCAGCGAAATTTACTGTACGAAATCAGCAGCAATAGCCTGCCATGCGATTACGGTCGAAGCGATCTGTAAAAATAACATTTTGGGGTTGCAAGAACAATGTATTAATAATTGCCAGAAAAGCCACACCGTCCACATATTTTGCACTGAAGGTAGTGTTAGTAGTTTAAATGCAATATGCAATGCAAATTGGCAGGTAAAAGATACATTTTTAACACCGTGAAGATCGGTTATTTTAATTTACGTATATTTGGTGTTGACGGAGGAGAATAGGTTTTACAGTTGACCAATTTCTATACCGCATGATGGACAAGGTCGTGATTTCAGCATAGTTAACTTAATATAGTTCGCTCACGCTTTTTTCGTCTTTGTTCATTTATGTTACGCAGTTTGTTACACACTCGTTACGCTTGAGTGATGCGTCATGGTATTATCTCAAGGCGATATTGTTGCGCGTGTAGGCCTCAGTTATCTGGCTGTAGCCGATGTCTAAAGAGGGTGTAGGTTATCGGAATGATATGATATCGTAATATATTGTTTGAATGTCTTGTGCATTTGACAGAAAACGATTTCTTCTGAGAGCAAAACTCGTAAAATAACATCTCGAGACAAATTCATTTCTGTTACCATATTTTAACTTCCAGTTATCATCGCAACTTTTTTAATTTATCGTCGACTAAAATACCGCCCGACACCCGACCAAGCGCGTGTCGCGCTTGGGCGATAGGAACGGATTCAGCAGCGACTCGAAATCCAAGATATATGTATTTTATTGGGAGGGCAAAAAAAATGTGACAAAGCGCATTGTTTTGCGTTATAACTTTGTATTTTCGGAAACCGAGTGTCGTGAGAAGTAAAATTTGATCTAAAGTAATTGCAAGTAAAGTTTTATCATCTAACGTCGGGTACTCATCATTTTCCTGGAGAACTCGAAAGGTCATTTATTATAAAATAAAGAATGTTTCACTATTCCAAAAAATTAAGATTGTTGCAATCGAAAAATCGCCTGTAAGATGGCAGTTGGCACCAATGATAATAAATAAAATGGTGCAATAACGCCGTATTCGCGTTCTGAATATTCAAGATGGGATTACGGTGTTTAATATCTGCCGAAAACGCGTTTGCGGACTCTTTGCGAGAAAACACAAGTATAATCACGTGAGACAGATTTCGTTGCGAGAGAATAACGCTCGCCCCTGATTAATAAATTATCCGAAATACAAAAATTGACGCCCCGACTCCACTTGAAAGATACCGGAGATGGTTGACAGTTACCACGAGCCCCTACTTTATCCTAATGCCTCAGTATATCTTTTCAGATGTTTTAACCAACAAAACCATTCCAAATACGCAAATAAATTCAACGGAAATTTACTTCCGTAAGCTTCAAAATATAGCAAACTGATGACGTAGAAACGCATCACTCATGCGTAGCGTACCGGACGTGAGCGAACTATATTCAGTAAACTGAATGATAGAACTGAACTGAATGTAAATGATTTCAGTGTTGAAGTTTACTCAAGGTATTGTATGTATATATATATATATATATATAATTTCAATTGCAGAATTTGAGTCAAAAAACAGTCACACAATACTGCATTTTTGAGTCTCGTCATTTTTCTTATTGAACACCCTGCTTCAGATTGGACAGATACATCTCTAAAACTGTAACAATGAAAGTGATATGCGCTGGAATGTCTAAAAGTGGAACAAAAACATTACATGTTGCTCTAGAAGAATTGGGATATTCGGTATATGACTTTCCCGAGGTCTTTGACAACTATGAAAAAGATTTTTGGAGATTTACTAGCAAAGGCTGGACTGTTGAAGACTTTCGACAGAGATTTGAGAATGTTGATGCTGTTGTTGACACTCCAATGTTTTATTTTTGGGAAGAACTTGCGGAAGCTTTTCCCGATGCAAAGGTTAGAGTCACTACGACACACTTTATTTAAGAATGTATTAATTCCAGTAATTAAGAAAAGTAATCATGTCGTTGTCGAGAAATATGTTAATTAAATTGCAGGTGATACTTATGACACGAGACAACGTAGAGGCTTGGTACAAAAGTAGCAGTAAACAGATGAGAGTTTTGAATGGATGGCACATGTATTATTACCCGTTTTTATCTTCAACTTGGAGAAAATATTTTGTATTTGGAACGAACGCTTGTAAGTAAAATTGCACGAAAAAATATTGGAAACGTCGACTTAAAAATGACTTTACTTGTTCATGCGCCCGACTTTTAATATTATATATATATCATTCATTCTCTATTAATTTAAGGAAAGTATACTCATAGGAACTCCTTAACATGGAATTCTAGTTGCATGAGCAAGCTTGCGTTGAATATAAGGCCTTCGCGAATAAACGATATTATATATCTGAATTTGCCTTATGATCTGATACAATAAAGTTTAAGGTTTTTTTTATATCTAGGTTTGCTTCCTTTTGGATATTGGACAAGTGTGTATGGTATTGAAAGTTATTGGCCAGAAACGGTAGAGATTATATCCAAGCAAACTTACAGGAGGCATAACGCACACGTTGTTCATGTAAGTTAACAATTTCTTATTTTTTCTACCTGATAGCAAAATGACGAAGTGAATTTTCCTTACGACTTCCAGTCGTTTAACGATATATATATATTCATTTTCTATTGGGTGTTGGACCACATAAGTCACTGGAAAGTTTTATAAAATTTATGCAAAGTCGTGGACATTGTGTCCTCATAAGAAATGATAAAGGTAATTTTGTCGTTTGATCTGAAGCGTGGTATAGTTAATTTGGTTCGGCGCTAGAAATACACTCGCGACTGCACCTTTGAATAGGGTCGCCATACCGTCCGGAAAATTCCGGAATTTAGGGTTAAATTTTGCGTCCGGGAAGAATTTAAAAATTGCTTGAATGTCCGGAAACCGGAATTTTACTGCATCTGCAATCGTACTGTGCACACTGCTAATACAGAACAGTGTTATCTCGTACCATGCGCATTATTTTTTACTACGAGGTCATGAAAATAGTCATGCACTGTCCGCAATTTTGCTTTTTCAAACATGGTAACCCTACCTTTGAACCCTGCATGGTTTCGCATCCCGTGGGGGATAATTATGTGCGATGGGATTGCTGGACTCCTCGTGATTCGCCATATGATTAAGACATCTTATCGGATAAATATGTAAATCCTAGCCTAATTTGTAACTTAAGACTTCTTGAAACTGTTAACTTATATTTCAGTCATGCCCAAAAAATCGACTTCTTGTCTATAACTGCAAAGAAGGATGGGAACCATTATGCGAGTTCCTAGGTAAACCGGTTCCATTAACTAGGTTTCCGTGGATCAACAAGGGCGGAGAAATTGCTCATTTGATGTGGGAAGCGCCATTTCTAAAGAGAGCAAGAAAAGAAATGATTACGAATTTAAGCATTTTATGCGTAACCGGGATAGTAGGAGCAGCATTATGTTTTCAATTTAAAATATTCAAATAATGGTATTTCATCATTGTGTTTTATAAGTTTGTTAAAATCTTTCCGTAAGTTTTAACTAAAAAATAGAGTTTAAATAATTCACGACATTGATTTTTTTTAAATTCTGGGAAGAAGCCACTGCATTGTAACATAGTCTATTAGGTAATCAAAGTTATATGTCAACAAAATTTAATCAAATTGAACTGAAGTGCTTGGAACTGTTGGCTATACTTCGCAGATTGTATGGAAAAAACGCTGTAATGTATGAAGTATATTTTATTCAAAATACAACAAACTAATATAAAAAAAAAGTTTAATACCTAAAATATCCAAGTACATATCACAGTATGATCTATTTTAGTATAGAGATTATGCTGGACTCAAAAGCCCACATGAATTCAGAAAACATTCCCCGATAACAATACATCTATCTATTTCTTCAATTTGGCGTCACAATCATATCATTTGAAAATTTTCTTAAGCCGTTGTAGGTTGGGTTTCGAACATCGATTTCGCATTATAGAAGTTTGAAAACAAATAGGAGTGAGAGTTGGTCTTCCATGAGCACATTGAAATGGAAGTTGACACGCGGATAAAAATTTTAATAATTCTTCGCATTGTGACAAACTTAGTCGATCACCAAATCGAATCGCCCCTGTAATAGTTAAATTTAATCATACAGTGACATTTTATTATTTAAAGAAATAAATCTTCTGTATTATATTAAGCTTTATTCTATATTCGTAAATACACTACAACAAGGTAATTTTAAGAAGTATCATAGCGAGTTAGACAAAAATGACTTGACCAGACGCAAATCTTGTGGCGAATATACCCGGTGAATGTCACTACCGTAGTAAAGTTTACACCTTAACGTAAATACCCTCGTTCGTCACAGCAGCCAAAATAGCTTTCCCATAATTTAAAATGTTTAAATTGATGCAAATTCAAGATTAAGCAAAACAGTGAAACCCCCAGAATACTATTTGTTCATAAAGCTATCTTTCCAGGAAGAAAATTTATTGTCGTATAATCATATGTGTTTTATACGTTGCGTCACAGGCTTCAGCCCCACTCTGCCTAGGTACATGAAATTTACATGTATGTAAAAGTAGGTTACGCGAAATACTAAGTTATGATTAGCTCTATAATATGTCCATAGGCGGGTGCTATCAACGAGCCTTGTATGAACTGAAAATCCTTATTATTTTAAATCTAGTTCTGTTTAAACTTTTCTATTTCTTACCATGACATGCTTGAGAGCAAAGAATGTCAAATATACATTTTGGTATTGAATATGATGCTCCGCTAGTTTCACGTAGAACCTGCACATTTTCATACAATATGGTAAAGATATAATCAGGATTAGTAAAGTAAATCCAAATGTATATTCAACCGTACACTATTATAGTGCATGGAGCACATACTTGTTTGGACAACATTGTCGTATGGGAAGAATGTATAGGTAGACCCAAAGACTCATCTCAAAAACTAGAATGTAACTCATAGTCCCCTTTCGCGCTGGTATTTAATCTTAGAGAATAACAATAACTGTACTATGCCCATGTAAGGTGTAGAGATAGTCAAGGCAATCGTTAATAGCGTATTTCTGAGTCTCGTGGTGTCCATGGTGGACCAGAAACCCCACGTCTTTGAAATCGTTTGAACAGCGTTGTGGACTGTGTGTTTTGTAATGATGACCGGATTATGATGACCTAGTGTGAATAAAGTACCACGAGAGAGATTCGTGTGACATCAATCAACAAATGCACGGGTATGGAAATTTAACAACTTAATATGAAACAACATTTTTGAAATATAAATTGAATGTTGTTTGATTACATCCACTGATAAATATGTCGATGTGTTTTATTGCTGGTTAGAGAACATAAAGTATAATGAATGTATTTCTTATGAAACGTGCGCTCTCAGATTAGTGTGCGTTCTCAGATTACTTATGATATGTTAACATATGAGTAATGAGGGTTAGTTGGAAAGACCCACCCCTTTTGGAGGTTGTATGCTTTAGTTTAAAGTAATTTGAAATACATCATCATAGCAGGAAAAATCAAACTGCTTTATTATCCCAACCTGGAGTTGTTCTCGGATGAGACGCTGTATCGTAATAGAAAGTTCCGCTTGCTTTTCATTTTCTTTGTGGAACCTCTCTACTTTGGTAAGCAGGGGCGCAGGTACTGCCGTAATACGAAAAACTGTGTCTATGAAATATAAAAAATGAAAATAATACTTCTCGTATGAGCTAACTGGATTACTTCCTCCAGTTGTAATAATTATCAGGTATAAGGTAGTCATTATAATATATATTAGTTTACAATATCACAGTACATCCACAATCGAAACTTCAGCCAACAGCGGGTTTCACATCATTGGGTTTTGAGGTCTAAACTTGACTTAAATTAATGTAAGTGACTAAAATTGACAGTTTGATATAATACCAAGCAGATTTTCACTGTCCGAATCAGAAAAAATCCCATTCTTAATTGATCGTTGTCGCTTGCTTTATAAGTAATATTAAGACGAGAAAATATTCGACGAAAAATTCAAAAGCAAATAATGAAATTCGTCATAAAGCGCGGGAAATTGTAGTTCTCTGGTAAATATAAAATTGAAGGGAAATATAAAATTGAAGGGTAAACGTTGTACGATATTCGTGCAACTTACAATCAGTACCAACGGAACAAGACATCTACAGTAGGGATGAAGAAATATAATTTTGTATGGAATCAGTGAGGTAATTTTAATGTGCTTTTATTTGATTAGTAAAAAAATCATTTATTAATATTTATCACTTTTAACTGTCAATGTGATGGCAGAAAAAATTGATTCACGACGCACAGACAAAAAGTCATTTATTTATTCAATACAAGTATTCACAGTTAAACGATGCATACTTTACAAACTTTTAGGATATATAACACATTCTTATATTATACAAAAGTATGTAATGTTACAAAAGTGACTGAAACTCTCGAGTCAACGGGCATTATAGACGCAACTAAATTAAATGACATTGAAATATACAATTTCTTTGTAGGTCATTCGTGACTATTGTAAAATCGGCTTCTTTTACTTTGGGATGAGTAAAGTCGTAATTAATACCAAAACGCACTTTTTTGAAGGCCTCGGACAAAGGTCATTTCTGCCAATTGGGAGCAACATAATGAGTCATAAACCTTGCAAACGGAAATAAATATCGAATAGATAATTTTTACAAATGGTTACATGCGTATTCGGTAGAATGCCCAATGTCTGTATCTCTGCGAAGATTGGAGACCGGTAAATGACGTGTAATTTCATGCCTTCTGCTCTAACAATTTTTCTCTAGTTTCGTCGAGTAGTAAACAAATTAGTGATATTGTTTTTGCATAATATACTCAACCACTCATTGAGTTTAAACAATATCTTAGCCCTTGAAACATGTCTGAATCGTAGAGTTGTGAATTACATTACGATTTTATATGTTACGTGATCATGGAATATATCGTGTTCAGTCAGAAAAACAAGTGGATTTATTCAAAAGTCTGGCTTAAAATGACTGATACTTTTCCCCTGTTTTGGGATGTAATTCTGGTATAAACAGTTGTTTACTCGAATGCAATGTCGCTAAATCGTTACGTAGTATATCAGGTTCATTTTGTTCACACCGTATACGCCAATCCTAATAAAAGATTCTGAGAGAATGACTATTGACCAGTGGAGCCGTCACTGGTCTCACAAACATTGTAGTTAATATTGATGGATATTATGAAGAAATGTTGTTATGCACACGTATTTATCATATTTATCAATAAAAAAAATGACGGCGCAACTCGCTCTCATGCGGCACAGTCGAACTGCCACTGTTCCATAGTTCAGGAAATAGATCATTTATCTCCCCTGGATGACAAGTGAGGAAAGTTGCGAGTTACAATATAAACCAGTGTGCACCGCTCAACGCCTCGTGGTTAGGATTACTGGGAAACAATCAATTCGCAGGCAATTTGATTAATATGGTTGTTTAGCAAATTCGCAATCTTGCGGTTTGGGACTTTAGGAGTTGCGCGGTTAGTTCTAACAGGCAAATATTGTTAGCTAACTGTCGAAACAATGCGGTAAATCCACTAATATTCTTATGTATTTTTATTTTCAAAACCTTTTGTTGTCATCGTCAGCACTAGAATAATTTCAATGGGTGTTGAACTTCTTGTTATATTTGGTTGATACAGACTCGCGGTGAAATATAAAATGCTACGACAAGAAATTACAATTAAATTGTCGCATTTTTTACAGTTCAAACTTACAGCAACAGAAGAAAAAAACAAAGTAATTTGTCACAACAGCCGACAACCATCACGACAGTTTATGTCATACCCAAGCACGCTAAATGGAGCAGCATCACAACGCTAAGATAGCTTCGCATATAAAATAATAAACTGAATTAAAGACAGGCATTTCGTGTCGAGTTATCATTGAGGTAGCATTTATATCGAAAAAGACAATGAAAAGGCGATTGCAAATGCGATACCGTCAGTTTGAAAATGGCAGAATCTAGAGGGACTTATCTTTGCTATATAATTGCCTTTGTGGCGCTTTGCCAAACTTGTAAACTGGTCTGGATTACTACATCAACAGTTGGAAATACAAAAGAGGAATCGAGAACTTTCAATGCAAAATTAGAATTATCAGCTGAACAAAAAAGTCGTTTAAAGACAATTGAAAGAGAATGTGAAAAATATGATGAAGAGCTGAAACTCAAAAGTAGGAAAGATGCTATTCCGCATATGATCGTGGATGACGAAAGAAGGATACTGTTCTGCGACATTCCGAAGGTTAAACTTTTTTTTTTTAAATTGAATACATATTGTTATAAATATTAGGGATATTTGAATTTAACCACAATGGTTCAATATCTGGGTTGTAAAAAATTCAGCTTCGTTAAAAACTTAGTTGAAAGATAATTTACATATAATCACATATCGTTTTATACGATTTATACCAAATTCGGTTTGCTCATATTTTGAACATATGCAGTCAATGCCGCATTTTTTTAGCTGAGTTCTAACGAAACTCCGAGCCATGTTTCTATTTCCTGGTGCTGATAATTTACATGCAATACGATCTTGCAAATTTAACAAAAGGCAGCAACGCCATTTCAAATAGTAATGGTAAGACTTATTGGGAAATTTAGCTAAAAGTAAATTGCAATACTACTTTGCAGAAAAAGTTACTTGATTATAACGATTTCCTCTCATTGCTGTGATGAAGCGGTTTGTGCGTGAAGTTGCAGATGAATTCGATTGATACTGCAGCATGTATGCAGATGTAAACAAACACATAGCGATGTTGTATATTTGAAAGGATTAGGCCAATGTTTTCTCTCTCACATATGTATTTACAAGCGATTGGATTTCAGATGATTATACACAGTGATTGGATTTAAATTGTAGATCCCTCCCCTCAATAATTCGAAAAAGTTTTTTTTTTAATTTTGAGAAAAAAAAATTAAACAGTCTTTTTGACTCATACTTTAATTTATTTTATTTCGAATATAAATGCTTCTGTTCGTTTTAAAGTACAGTGAAATATTTCAAGATGGATATGTTTTCAAATGTTCAAGGCGCGAAGAATTGTTTACCACGCACTGGTAACTAACTTCCCCACAACGCTAATCAAACTTTTGTTTGTGCATTTGTTTTTTTCAACAGACCATCCCTTTTCGAGTTCACATTTGTTTCATTTTTAAATAATCGCAAAAATACGAACACAAATTTGCCTTTAATTTTGCAAGAAAAATAAAACAAACAAATGTAAAAGATAAGCCGCAGTTGCCCAACACGATGCATAGCGTCATATAAGCAGTAAATTTCCATGACGTCATAACCCACTTTACAAAATCATCCGCCAAGATACTTAGATTAATTTTCATTTTGTTTGGTCTATAAATTTCAATCATATGAAAGGTTGCATGAAATTATTAGCCCCCTCTATCACGTTCTATGAGGTTACTATTCTATTATTCTATTTGCTAATACTGAAACGTGATATGCTAAATTGGGGCTTGTATTTTGCACGATCGATTGAGAATATTATTCATTAAATGTAAAATGCAACGCCATGATATAGTTCCGAAGCATCTATACGCACACTATTAGAAAACAAAAAAAAATAGATTTCTAGATGCTTAACTATAAAATTGGGCCCTTCTCGTTGAGACATTCTAGCAGAAAATTTCACTGGAATTGGAAAAACTTTCGAACGTTTTGGCACGGACGAATGTGACTTACCGTGAAAAAAAGTAGTTTAATAAAGGGTTTCTGATTAGCAATACATTCTTTAATTCCTTTTATCAAAGTTGCGAAATGAATGTATCAAATTTTCATACGACGCTTATTACGCCTTCCGCTTCGAACAAGGCTCTGTACAAGAGCCAATGACATCTAACGTAACGAGTTTTTGATCGGAGATTATTAACTTATTACTTTTATTTATTTCAAAAGTGTTTGTGGACTCTATAGGATTTTTTTGTTTGCGATACCCTCATCAAAATTAAGCACCTTGTGGTGGTTTCGCGTTAGTGGTCAGGCGAAGACTGCAGTATCGGTAGTCTACTGTGACAATATACCTGTACTACTTCGTTTTGGTCTACGTGTCCATCGCTCTCTTGTTTAAAAATCGCAAATTATTAATCGATTATACCATTATTGATATCCTTTTTTTAAATCGCGTCATTCTTTGAATTCAGGTTGCGAGCAGCAACTGGAAACGAGTCTTCATTGACGACCTCAAGATTAAGGTCAATGGTTCTTCAAACATACGAGACGTACACGCAAAAAGACTTCTTCCAGATTTGCGATACTACACCCCGGAAGAACAAGATTATAGACTGAAAAATTATTTCAAGTTTATGTTTGTGCGTCATCCATTTGAACGATTACTATCTGCTTACAGAAATAAGCTGGAAAATCGTGAAATAGAATGGATACCATCTACTAAACACTCTGTGGATTATGAAGGGAATTATTATCACGAAAAAGAAGTTATTATGCGAGTTAAAATGGAGGGACTGAATAACAAAAATACAATTTCTTTTAGTAAATTTGTAGATACGTTAACAGACCCTGGGTATAGGATGAAGCATTATAACACTCATTGGAAACAATATCATAAACTATGTCATCCTTGCTTCATAAGGTATGATTTTATAGGAAAATTGGAAACGCTTCCTGAGGATCTTGCCGTTATTCACAACGCAACAGGTCTTTACTTGGAAAAATGGCTCCATGAAAAAGAGAGGACGACTTCGCCGACTCTTTTGAACAAATATTATAAAACGTTGCACCCTGATAAGATAGCAAATCTTCTGAGTATGTATGATATAGATTTGGCAATGTATGAATACGACAAATTTTAAACATTATTGTCCGGACGGTATACAATTAAAACAAAATGAATAAAATTCGATTTATTCACGGTTGGTCCTATTTGTACGTTTATGTGCCCTATGAGCAAACGAATTCTTTTAAATATTTTTACATTTTAATAGCATCCACTACCTCATATGCAACACTTTTCGCATATCACACTCCTAATCGTCGACACGATTTGAAAATCATTCAATTTTGATGTAATGTGACCCTTATTGCATAATGCATTGAAATACAGTTTGTCAAGATTTACATATAGTCATATATTGTTGACATTGTGTACAAAGAATAAAACAAAGTCAACCCAGGGCAAAATTTAAGCTTACACCATCGAATAGACTTACTCATCAAGTATAATTCGATTGATAATTTCTGCTTTAGTAACAAATGAGAAGAGAGCCTAATCTGTTTTTCGACCAAAATCTGTAACAAAAAATCTAAAACACCAAGTGGGGCCAGGGCAACAGAAAACCTATCCAAACAATCTCTGTCGGTTGGAATTTCCTATTAAAAAGTTATTACCGGTACATCTTCCAGATAACAATGTTTTGGAATGTACAATTTAAAATTATTTTGTAAAAACCTTTTCTCTGCAAATCATACATATCGCGACATCATTTATAGATCAGAGCTGGGTTACATACAGTGTAATTAATGCTGTGCAAAATTTTCATAATATAGAATAGTATTTTGTTTATGTACAAACATAATAATTCAATGCCCCGTCGTATATTTGACATGATAGTATTAAAATATGGTAGATTAGCCAACGCCAGATTTTATTCAGAAACCTATAATTGAATGAACACCATATTTTTTAAAAAAAATGCTATAATGATGTTTTATTTCGATACTTGTTACGAGTTGGTAATAACTTACACATGTTTGTTTGAGATACGTTTCTTTAAACAAATATTTTCTTGTTTCATATCTTTTTTATCTTTTATAAGAGAACAAAATCAGAACATCAGTTTTTAGTTTTTTCCAATTTTAACGCTAGTGATGTATATCAGTTTCTCTCGTTTGTGTTCATTATTTTCCGATACGAATACCAAACGCTAAGAAGGGCCTATTGCGTATAAATTTATACGTACTCTCCGTTTTTTAGTGTAAATCTTTTTACTCGGTACAGCAAACGGCTACGTGTAAAAATGAGTATTTTCTGACTTCCTCGATAGCAAAGTAATGGTGTGGTAATTGTTACTAGTGATGTAGTGAATTGTAGTTTTACATATCATACCCAGTCAGAGAATATTGAAAGTTCATTCCAACACAACCAAACGCTTCTTCTGCCAGCTCAAATCAATTTTTTGAGAGATGAGATCAATGAATTGGATATGAGCGTTAGGGATATAAATAAAAACAATTTTAAATTTATACCCTGAAAATTGATACAGGCAGACCCCAGCTTTTTCAAAATATTTCACGACCTCGGAAAAAGAAAATTGGATTAATCGTTTGAATTTGAGGCAGAGTCACTCTATATATAATTTTCTCATAGAAATTTCGAAAATGAATGCATACCGTCTCTGTTGCAATTGTCTTCCATCCGATATTGTAAGCCAATTTTAGCAAATTTATTTTTCCAGGCTTCCATGAGTGTGCATTCGCTTTCCCTCATGTGTATCGATATTTCATTCTTCAGTGTGGCAGACTTTATGCCATCATTGCTTAGTATATCTAGACGTTTTTAAAGTTTATTTCATACTGGAGCCACATGTCTGGCGCAACATGCTGGCTCATACCGACCACATACAAAATGAATTAAAACATTGCAAATTAATTAATTTACTCCATGCACAACAGTGAATATATTATTCACTGTTCATCTAATAAGCTTAAAGAAAAATCTAAATTTAAATATGTGAGTTGAATAAGTAAACTTGAATAAGTTTTATTCATTTGTTCTCCAATTTTAATTTTAAACTTCTATATTATTTTGATTAATTTAGTTTTTGCTTCCATTAATCCTTTCTTATCGTCGTTTATTTTATTATTTTATATTTTTCCAATATTTTTGTGTGTGAACATTAGACCATCGTGTTTATAAAAATGTTACAAATTCAGTACCTTTCTCTAAGCGCTCTAAACGGATTCTTTCATGTACTGCATGCTGATCGAATAACACAATCGTCCTTTTCTCATTATCTGTAACTGTCTCACCATCTGTGCCTGTTTTAGCAGGAGACAAAAGTGTAACAATGAACTTATTGTCGAGTTGTCCGATTATCTGAAAAATATACAAATATTGTCACCTAACAACATATTTATATTAAGGGGCAATTCAAATACTAGTGTGGTATCCGATTAGCAATTTTTACAATGTCATATACATATTTTAAAATTTTGCCAAAATTGTTTCACTAAATTTTGTAATATGTAATAAACGGAGGTTACTATGTTGAGGATTTGATTTCAGCCGTTTGACGCGTGTCGATGCAAGACAATGATGTCATCGCAGCTATATAGACAGCATGACAAATATATCATTCCATCCCCAGCTAAAAAGAAACAGCGCAACATTTATGGCCGGTAAGAAATCTCATTGTTCTCGATTTCAATCAATTGACTTGAGCCAACGTTCGTTCGCAGACCGCTGATGTGTTTTCTTGCTTATGAATGCAGACTTGTGGCAGTAATTTGAGTGAACCTTTGCCAAAATGAATTTGCACGACTTTGTTCCGAATCTGGGTATTGCAAGTTTACTTACTCTCAACAATGAAATTCATCCAATGAATATATAAAATTACTTGCAGTCTTTGAAATATATCTTTATCAAATTTCATGGAAATATCAGATGATGAGAATAAAGATGAAAATGTACGTTTGTCAAGATGATCTGAAATCTAATAAGAACTATAATTGAAGTGGGTTCTGTACAATTATTTGTATAATCGTGTGTGGAAAGAACGATAGTTAACTGTAGGGACAAAAAGGTTAGTTAATTGTGCTGATTGCCAAACGATACACCGATATCATGCTGATTGACAAGCGAAACAAGTCGATTTCGATCAGTGGTTCTTAACCTTCGCGAGCATGTCGAACACCTGCGCTATTCTGCAAGCTCACATCGAAATCCGTCGTATATTACGATTCGTATTGAACGATTAAAATATCGCAATTTGAACTTTATAAAGAAGAAGACGATTTTTGCAATTTTATATAGTATGCATAGAACTAGCCATTATGGTCCACAATGGTGTTTCTGCGTCATGAAGTCGTCCAGAAGAAATTATGATAATTTTAAGCAAAGATCTGCACTGAAATATTTATTCATCACTCAGTAGATGATGAGTAGAGAAGTACACCCAAGTCGCCAAGCACATACGTGGCGATATGAGTTTTCCATGAAGTATACTGGAATCGAAAAGTGTTTCTTCGCCGAACCCCTGGAACAGCTTCACCGAACCACATAGGTTTAATCGAACCCAAGTTAAGAAATACTGATTTGGATGATGAATTTGTAATTTATAGTGAGTTTTTTGAAATTTAAGTGTAAAGGAAGTCTCCATGCGTAATTATTTTTTATTTTAGAGACTGTGATTCAGCATTAGGATATCGAATGTCGCTGTATCAGCATGCGTTGTTCAACTATAGCGACTTACCTTCGCTTTTATAGGAATAGCTGGGTTTTCCCAATGACTTATTTCAATCTTGTTCGATTTTCTGTAAATTAAATGAAAGCTTATTAATATATAGTAAAAAAGGGAATTTACACAAAAGCAAAATGAATTAATACCTGAAATAACAACCGAACTTCGGGCGTTCCTCCTTTGGAATGGGTGCAAATTCCCGTTCACGATTTTTGAACTCGTATTCCAATCCAAGGGACGTAATCTCTGGAGCATCTGACAAGCAAAATTTTAATTATGATATTTTAAGCACAGAATTATAGTTGAAGAATACAATAAATTTGCTGTTTTCCATATAAAAAATGTAATTTTCACCTTACATAATAGAAACTCAAGATACTGCATTTTCTGATATTGACACCAAGCATTGAAACGATAGTAAATAAATATCACAATTCACAAGTATTAAAATTTTTAGCGTTTTACCTGTAAGTTTGGGATTATTTTCTGTCGACATTCCCGTTGTCACATTTATGTAAACATTTCTTCCAAGTTTCGCATTGTATTTAGAAATCCAATTTGATTTCAATGTCTTCATCGACACATCCTCGGGGTTCGTGATGATGGAACTGACTAATTTGTTCTCTATAGCATGTGAGCTTTTTTGATCACTAAAAATCGAATTGCTGATGTCTGATAGCTTACTACTCCTATTAACCACAGAGAACTTGGAGGTAGAAGCAGAGGAGATTGTATTCTTATTTTGAGCCATTTTGCTGAAAACCGCGGCATCGTGTGGTACTATATCTCCGACAGGCGGCAATTTCAATGATCCATCCTGGAAAAATTACCTTATTGCTTAAAAAAGGTGGTGTAACATTAGCAGAATTTTATATATTGTTACCAATTTTCTGTTTTGGCAATCTTCTTCTTTATCTACTTTTCGCAGTGCGAGTAAAAGATTATTTTCCTTCAAAAATCGCATGATTGTGGATAGTGCGACTGCAAGCACTTGGTCCCAGTTTTTAAATTCGATCATGGTTTTCTCTGGCTCAAACGAAATGTCATATTTTCTGTGAGAGCACCTTCAAAAATATATTTAGTATATAATATATTTGTGAAAAGGTATTCACAATTTTTAGGGTGACCTAAAAAAAACTCAAGTCATTTACATATTCTAGAGGAAACATAACTTTTGTGCAGAGCGTCCTGGATTATTACTGAATCTTTCGGGTACAATCGTACACAAACAGACGATCAAGTGTTGAATAATTTTTTTTTTCATTTTCGTAATTAGAAAATAAATGAATATGCTCACATAATATTGATAAAATAAATCCCATATGTTCTTTTGGTAATAATTTTAACAGGATAATCCGAATTCCTCATCTTTTGTATATTATTCCTCTGTACTTCCGTAGATACTTCTTTTCGATTGCCTATATCAGATTTTTTCAATATTTCACTTATTTCCTTATGAATCCTAGTCTGAAAAAATGAAACATTTGCAAAATGATATCTGTAATCAGCAATTAATTTGTTTGTAAAATGTTCTTTACCTTTAAAACAGGTCTTCTGTTTACAAAGACAAACTGTAGGTTTTTATTATCAAAACCATGCCGGCTAATCGCGCCCGAAATTTGGTATTCCGGCTCGTGAGACGAAATTTCATTCATAAAATTAATAGGTGGTATATGGCCGAACACAAACTGAAATCTAAATAAGAACGTACAGATTAAAACCAGGCAAACTGTATTTAGTTCTTCTATGTAGGACTGGTACGGATTACTAACCTTGACAGACAGGATTTGTGTTTTGGGACTCGGAAATCGAATCCTGGTTTTGAAGTGTTTATCAGCACAAAAGAAGTTGAAGGATGTGTTATTGAAATTCTTTTTATTCTCTCACTGATAGCTTCTGATTCCAACTCCACATTCAGCCCATATCTAAAGAAATGATATTTAATATTTTAAATTAATATTTATTGTTATCGAAATTTTTCATTTCGTAACAAAAAAACTACAATTTGATGTTTGGAGCGCATTGATCACGAAATAAAAATCTCACTTCATGAAAGATACATAAAAATTCTATTGTGGAATCGTGGATACTTCCTTCTCCTAATCTGTTTACCTCCTGACTGGCAAATCTTTATAAAGTCCTTTCACTGCAACGCTAGTTTCGTTTGCATAGCCAATATCACATGGCAATACTCTTATTTCTTGATTTTTCCCCTGTTCAACAATTTTGTAAAACTTTTTATTTGCGCCGCTTTCTCTACTGGTGATCTCCACTATATTTGAAAGGTACGCTATACTAGCGAGCGCCTCCCCTCGAAATCCGTAGAAATGTAGATTTTCATCAATATCGATTCTAGTGGAGCACTTGCTAGTGGAATAACGAATTCCTGCAAAATATATCCAATAACATTAACGTAGTTGATTTAATCCAGGCATTTACAGTATATCAATGTCAGTTGTTACTGTGTCAGCATTACTTCAAATGTTAGTTGTCAGAAATGGGAGTGGGACTGTCCGTGGTAGACTAAGCGTTTAAGGGAACGGTTTAAAAAGCACAAAAGCATGGAGTTCGTTTATATAATTGGTGGTTCGCGACTAAGTTTTCATCGCAAAATACGTCAACTTGTAAACATACGTAGACTAATACTCCAGTCATTCAATTCGAACGTTTTAATGGGGCTTCATGTTTTGATTATTAATAGGGCCTATTATTCATAAAATTAATGTTCTCGAATTCAAAACGGATGGTTTCCATGCTCCGAACTGAAACGTGAACTAAATTGACCAAACGTGAGATCAAGTCAATAAAATAAAGAGCAAACAGGTTTAACGTTATAGGCTACTACCTGCTTTCCTCAAGTTGTCTTCAGAGAATCCATGACCGTTGTCAGTAACTTTGAAATCAAGACGAACAGAATCATATTCCACAGATATATCGGTAGCATAGGCATCCAAGCTGTTCACCACCAATTCTTCGATACATTGCCCAAGATTTGGAGCCGCGATTCCACTTCGGATGCCGGATGAAACAGAAGAAAGCAAAGTCGATAAAGTAGCCATTTCAAAACTCTGTCTATTGTAAACGTATCCAGCACATTGTGACGACACCAATCTCGTAATTTCTACAGCCACGCGGGACTGCGGGTAGTGTAGTGGGCCAACAGTAGCGATGCACCCCGCTTTAGTAGAGGTTATACATTTTTATATCGGACAGACTAACGGTATATTCGAGAGAAGCTAAAACTCCTGCTAATTGTTTCTTTGAGTGGTATGAGTATGACACCTTCTATATTGGCCAAGATGAGTTACGCGCGTGTGATATTCAGCGTACTGATTATGCCGAGCAATGAGAATATACCACACTGGCGTTTCTCCATAATGAACATCGAAAAAGCGTTTTAGACCTATGACAAAGACAACACGATCTGTTGCATGGCTACCAAATCGAGGTCGGATATGGAAATAATCCAGATCTTTTTTTTTCAGTTTTTATTTATCAATAAAACATCACTTTTCATCCACACGATAACACATGAACACAATTGCACCAGATCTTTGTTGGGTGGTACCTGATTCAATATACCTATATCGTAGTAGTATACCTATATTTACGCTAATTCGGTCCAGCTATCAACTGTCCCTCTAGTTTCGAGCTATTTTTCAACCTTTGACCCGTTTGGTGCATAAATTAAATTTACTTTGAAATCCGCATTCGTACCTCAGCAAAGTGACTATATACCTCAGGCTCAGCATACCTCATGCTCAGCATCAGCGCATCATAAGTAAACTTATTACCGTATCACACAGGTACCGGTATTCATGCAGTGCCAGACTAGTTTATATTTACAAATTTATGAGATCTTCAAATGCAGCTCTGTTTGTCTTCATCGTTTCTACTGCGATATTGTCTATTTTCATACGACCAGGTCAGTCCAATTTCAAGAAAAATATAAAAAGCATACCTGCATTTCGGTACCCTGCTAGGGTGTTATGCATATTAAATTTTCTGTGTATATTAAACTGTCATATGTAGGTACCGATATGTCTCAAAAGGTGAGACAGGGCTTTATTACTATGGGTGGTTTACGTAACCGCTGTCCGCTGGGATCATCGCGACAACAAAACTAGAGAAATACCGTAGCTGTTCGATTTTGGGTACCAGTACCGGTACTCAACTGCGCATCATGGATGACAGTTCGTATAGTTTGAAGGGCTTTATTACATCACTAGCAGACTAGTGACATAATTTTTGGATGGTATAGTCTGGTGGGGGTTAGGATTGACACATGAAAAAATTGTTATGCTACGCCCACTAGAAGTATGTTAGGTACGAAACTACATGCGACCCTGAGAGGCTGTGGTTCGCCATATGATTAAGGCGTCTAATCGGCTCTCCTCACTGCCAAGAATATATAGCCTATGTAAATTCTATCCAACTACAGTACTAAGTTATTCATGTATACAATTTGTCAATACTGAAATACTTGAATACAGGCACCGAAACTTACCATATACCTCAATCCAGCAATCAGATACTGCAGATATGAGGCAGTCAAAATTCCCCGAATGTCCTGAAATGAAAATCTGTAAATGGGTGGGGATAAGCTAACCCTGACTGCCTGATGCAATGCTCTGCTGCTGTGTTGCACATGATCATCCAGATCAGCAGCTGGCAGACAAGATTCGAATATGCGTAATTCAGCAACTGAAGTTGTAGATGTGTACTTGTTGCCAACCCTGATAATTAAAGGTGTTTTGATGAAATGCTTATGAAAATATATCTAATTTCAGCATTGAAATGGTCAAAATTGCACAAGTATAAATTGGCAATTGGAATCTTGTCTGCCAGGGAAAATTTTGTTCAGCGAGATACTATTCGTTCAACTTGGCTCTCCATTGTCAGCAATACAGAGCTTTTCAATGAGTGAGTGCTATATATTTTATACATATTTTGTTGTTTTAGGTTGTACAGTTAATTTGATATGTTCACATGTATTGAATGCGGTGAACAATGCAAAGATTTGTATTCCACATTCCCTAATACTGGGATCCTTAAGATAGAACATTGTACAAAGTGCAAGCAAGTTGTTGACAAATATATTGAATTTGACATCACTCTCGTATTCTTGGATTTAATTCTTCTGCGACTTGCAGCCATTCGTCACATATTGTGTAATCGAGACACTGGTAATGAACACTGGAAATTGGCTTTTTTGTGCTTGTTTTGTGATGGCTATATGAAGTGGATATCAAAAAATGCACCCAGCGCAACCATTGATGATAGAAACAGTACAAATTCTGAAGATGTTGTATTCCATGCAGCAACTCAACTACAACTTTACGTCATGACTATTGTATCAGGACTTGAACTAAGCTTATTTATATTCATTGTGTTATTCTTATGTTATGTTATTCAAAAACTTCTTGTTATTTTGATGCCAAAATTACCATCAGTTTTACTTTTTTCAACATCTAAACAAATTGTATTCAATGCTAAGAAGATAAGTCAAGCACTACTTTTTGCTAATTGTGGTAAATTATTGTTACTCCCTGCAATTGTTTGGGGTCAGCGTTCGAAGCATCTTTACTATATTATTGCACATGTTATATGTTCCAGTACAGTTTCACTGAGTATAGTTACAAACTTTTCATATGCAGTAACAGCAACAATATCTGTGTGTAGTTTCGTTTCGATTTTGTACTTACAACCATGGACAAATTCAATGTTTGAAAGCAATGTTCTGTTTTGATTCACTAGACATACACATTGCTTGGCCAGAATCTTTCTTTCTTCTTGTTATGCCGTTTGAGATGGACCATTTATCGCATTAGATTTGATGTTTTCTAACATTCGTAGTTGTTTCTGTATGTTATTTTATTATTTTTATACTATTTTATACACAGCATATTTGTGAAATTTATATTGGCAAACCAGGATTGTAATATTCCAGTTGAATACAGAAATGATGCTTATACCTGTGAAGAAGCAAGAAAAAGTTTACCAGGTGAGCACATTGTGTATCAGTCAAATGTGTAGCAATGTAATGAAAATAGTTAGTAGTCATCCATCCATACGAGCCAAAATTGTGTGATGCAAATTGAACAAAATATACATGCATACTAATACACCATTAAAAATGTGTACGGTAACTTGAGTGACTACTGACGAAAAAATATAGCTGCGTCAAATTTGTTCTCTTAACTTTATGCTGTAATGTGCACTTGCTACAGAGTATGAAGTTATTACCGTGTTGAGACTTGCTTATGTTCATTTCTACTTATTCTTACATTTCAGAACAAAAAGGTCCAATCGATATCCTTCACTATGCTTTTGTTGATAACAAAAATGTTGAGAGTTATTCAGCGGATTTTGTGACAGTGGGCTATGATTTTGTAGTGGCGTTTGATGTCATTCTATCTGGTATCACCATATCTATAACAAATGGACAAAATGTTGTAGTACAACTATGGAATTTGGCAGCGGATGTAAGAATATTATAACAATATGCATATGCTAATTTTAAATAGCAAAAATATCTGACTGAAATGAGTAACCAAAACTTTTTTGGAATAACATAAGCCTAAACATTGCATTATGTAATCAGCTGAAAATATTGTACCCACAAAAATAACTTAATCATGTTGAGTTTCAAGCTTTATCATATCACAGATTGATTTCAAATATATTAAATATCAAGACAAGTGACATTCGATAGCATGAGCCTCCAAATTTTGATTTGAAACAAATATTTTTACGAACTTTCAAGTATATTTTCTATTTATACCTTTGCATGGTTATTTGCACAATGGTAAATTTGACCTAAGAAAACCATTATTTTATTTGCCTGTATTTTTTACATGTTTCTCTGTGTTCTATATACCGGTAATCAATATAACTTGTTCTTCCTATTTGCACAATGGTGAATTTGACCTAAGAAAACCATTATTTTATTTGCCTGTATTTTTTACATGTTTCTCTGTGTTCTATATAATCAATATAACTTGTTCTCCCTATTTGCGCAATGGTAAATCTGACCTAAGAAAACCATTATTTTATTTGCCTGTATTTTTTACATGTTTCTCTGTGTTCTATATAATCAATATCAATAACTTGTTCTCTCAATTTTCATATATACAGAGTCTTGTTGTTGAAGCAAGAGATCCACATCGTGACAATACATCTAACATATACATTTATGGTTTCCACCCTCATTTATTACCGAAAGGATTTCTTGGATCTTTAGTTGTTGTATGCGATAGGCAAAAATCATGTGTTGGTGTGAAGAGTTGGTTTCAAAAGCATTCGTTTCATCCCGCTATAAAGATAAGTCCTGTAAGTTATTTGATGAGAACTCAATGGGCTTGTTGCTGTTTGTTTATATCAGCCCATAATTAAGTAAGTTGTACTACCTTGAGTGAACATGCAGACCTAGTTTTGAATTGCATATTTCAATATGGATCCATAACTCTAAAATAATGAAACATATCAAGATAACATTTATTCAATATTAGTTGCAATTTAAAGTGTGTTATATACTGTACTTGTATTTCCTACTTGCATCTGATCATATCACTCCAGTGAATATGAAATTTCATTCAATTGTGTTTTTAATCTTTGACTCATTGTCCTCCTTAATTCAATAATAAGCTGATGGAGGAATCATTAATTTTAGTTAACTATAACCTATTTCAAGTTTATTCTTGATACCCTGCAATGATTGGAACTCTTTATGATGTTTTAGCGTATTGCTAATGTTATGAACCAATTTTAGCCATCAGTTTATTATTTTTATTCAAATTAGATGTCAAATTTACATATTTAGATCATTCGTTATTCACTGAAGAAAGGAGATTTTCCAATTCATATCTTGCCTGTGACACTTGAAAATATGATATTGCCTGCATCTTTAATAATAGAATTTGCAGGTGAGTTATTTATTGCTCATCTAGGAAGATTATTTAATTTCTTTCCATCCATGCACTTACTCAGTACTTGGGGTTCGGATTTTCACTACTAAATAGCATGAACTTGCAAAATCTAAAAATATTTTAATAGTGAGATTCACAGGTCTAATCCATGGGTCAACGCATCTGTAAGAGGATCGTTGAACTCCTCGCCACCGCATGGTTCATGTGACCAGTTCCGTATTTCACCGTACAAATAATGCTACACAAACACAAGTGAAATAACTATTCCCATACCCATTCTGGACAATTAACCTTGGTTTGCCACAAATAAAAGCCGGTTTATCAACTCTCAATAAATATCCTATTTGCATTTTCATCTACCGTATGTATTATTACAATCTTATTTCAGATATTACACAATTGAGGAAGTATGTACAAAACGGAGAATATGCTTATTCTGAAAAACAGCAACACATATTTGAAACTGATAAAAAAATAAAGCAAGAGATTCAAGAACATGATGATATTTTGATCGTTTCTGATATTGATGGTGCTGATATTAAAGAGACTTATAGGAATGTTCCCAGGAAACTTGTCAGTTTTCATCAGTATGTGGCAAGAAGTTTGAATGCTGATTTTATCATGAAAACAGACGATGATTCATATGTTGATATTGAAAAGATTTATAAGGTGTGTTGTTAGTTCCAAACATACATGACTCAAAATAATGAATATATGAGTAATCACTGTGCGAGTGTCTAACTCTAATTGATAGCGTTTCATACAATCTTTAGAAAGATCTGCTATTCATGAATTTGGATAATTCAGGTGTTCTGAAAACTTGCTTAATGGGTACTTGATCAGGAGCATGACTCTAACCAAATTCGATATTGTACAATGCCATCATAGTTATCCTTTTGGTTATCGTGTTCTTGAAATGTGGGTAATGATTGAAAAATATGTTTTTAGCTTGTTAAACAAATAGAGGAGGAGCCACGCTATGGACTTGGAATATGGTTGGGGAATTTTCGCAGGGATTGGATTGTTGATAGATGGGGAAAATGGGCTGAATATCAATATACTGCCTCTGTTTATCCTGCATATGCATGTGGTGCTGGCAACATAATTTCGTCGAATATTTCCAAGTATTTGGCTATTAACAGTCGAAACTTGAAATTTTATCAAGGAGAGGATGTATCCATGGGAATATGGATGTCTGCTCTAGATGTTGAATATATTCAGGTAAGAATAATAAAAATGACTCGGCTGCTCTTGCTGTCTCCAAAATTTCCTGTCAACAGTTTTGATTTCTTGGTTGTTGAGGTGAATATAATGTAGTTGTCAATGTTTCTAAGAAAAATGTTAATTTCATTTCTAATGTTATCATAGACAACATTCCCTCCCGTAGAGCTCGGCATGTCTTTTACTAAATTCGTATTTTTGCCTCATCTGGTCTGGTTGTCAAGCGGTTTCAATTTCCATAAACGGATATATCTGCGTGTCCTTGATGAACGGCGTTTATAATACATTCGATTAGGGGGAAAACGGTGTGATTTGGAATAGCTTATATCCCAGAATCCTTGCCACATATTTTCGAAAACTAGGTCGCTGTTGTTTCTGAGAAGAGTCATTTTGAGGTATACTATTCTGTGTACAATACAATCTGTAATCTTGGATGTGTGTTATATTATTATGTGTCTTTTCTATGTTTAGAACGATCAATGGTTATGTGACGATAGTTGTTTTCCAAACATGATGGTGTCAACGCAACACACAACCTATGATTTGAAGCGTTTCTGGGAAAACAAAAATAAATGCGGAAATCCATGCGAATGTTTGTGATTTTATGACCCATGTTTCATATAAAACCGGTGCAATAAAACACAACACAATTGTGAACCTGTTGGTATTCGTTCTTTTTTCACACCTCAAGCAAAGTAAAGCGATCGCCGAAGACTGCTGGTCACATGTAGTGCTAGCTCCATATCCGATGAAACGCTCCCGATCATTGCCTTGCCGTTGATATAATGCCGCTAATTTCCAACCAAGTGGCCGTTGATATAATGCCGCTAATTTCCAACCAAGTGCGCTCAAAACATGTAAGTGGATGACCGCTGTGAAACGAAGTCAGTTTCTCTGAATATTAATAAGTTTGGGTTGGACTAGTAAGCAATCGTGGGGTGTATCTGGTCAAGTTTTCGCTATCATGAGATCTTTCTCGACTGGTCGCAAGTCAACGTTGCTTGCCAAGTCCCCAAGCCTGATCTATTAATGCTGGAGTCCCGCATGGTTCTATTCTTAGGCCTACATTGTTCTTGATATTTATTGATGCCTCTCAGGATAAGCTTAAGTGCATTTTGACTATATGCGATGATGAGACACAGTCAGTATTCCGGCATCGATGTGAAATCAAATAATTAGCAACGTTCAGTGACAGGTCTCTCTGAACCCAGCAAACACTTAAGATTCTATTTGTCAATCGGTACGTCAAAGCTATTATAATGTCGCAGAATACTTTTCTGTCCATAAAATTTGTTTGATTGCCTTTATGTACTTTCATAGAAGATCATTGGAACCTTTGCTAGTAGCCATGGCCTCCGCTGCGCAAGGGGGTACGAGATAAAGACGGTATTTGTATAAAATATAAATAGGATTATGACATATTTGAAGCATTAAATTAGCATGTCAATAATAAAAGAAACACTATTTATTCCTTGTTGCTCGATCGCCCCCGTCTTTGCTTGTCCGTGGTTCTTTCTGCAAACTTGGTGCTATGAGGCTTTCCGCATTGCTCTCTTTTTTTTTTTAGATATTATGAAAGCTTTCTCCACTACTCCCCTCCCTCTTGTGAACGAAATATTAATACTGGAAGTTCCACACCCCACTCTTTGAAATTCGTAGAAAAACCCGAGCCGACTTTATAATATGGCCATGCCATCTGAATGTGGGTCGACCTTAACCATGGTAAATTCTTTAACCGCGTCGCCTCAATTTGACTTTAAAAAATTGATTTGACGAAATTTTGTTGTGTGTCACGTTTTGATGTGTCAATAATGTTATTAAGGACATTACGAAGGATATTACCAGGCATTGAAACAATATGATCAACTCCGTGATCGTATTATACAATGGATGGAAACCATAGGAGCGAAGAGTTTTTCTTTGGTGACGAATATTTATTTATATATTGTATTTTCCTCTCCGAGTTGTTCGACTGGACGTCCATTAGGTCATTCCATGACATACTACCCAAAATAGATTTGGAAATATGCTTTAGAATAGATGATATTCGATACTTTTATCATCAACAAATATCAATGAAGTACGTACAAAGGACAAGGGCTCGGGTTTCAAATACTATGATATAATTCAATAAATAGTCTTGCTGCACACTAACACAAATATATTACAATACAAACAGAAATATATTTGTGTTAGTGTGCAGCAAGACTATTTATTGAATTACTCAGGATAGTTATCTTCACTCTTGCTACAGCCTCCTTGCATTATATGCATACGGATCCACCGACGCAAAAGCATAGAAAACGGAAAAGTAGTTGGTCTTGTAGAAACCCAATCGATAGCACAAGTTACTATGATATAAGATGGCATTAAATTTAAAACATGTAATAACGTCGTTATTTGTTGGTAGTATACAGTAATACCCTGACCAACGAATATCTAACTAAAAAGAGTACGAATTTTCCGATCTTTTACTGATTTCCATACACATATTAATTAGTGGAAAGTGATTGTTGCGGACTGTCCATGCGGGGGTACCTTGTTGCGTTTATCGCGCTAGCCAATGTAATTTCCGGATTTCTTATCAGTGTTGTGACCTCCCACAAATTGAAAAAACGGATTGGTCTGCGTGGGATTGACGCAGTGTACACGCTCATCAGACCAACGTGTGACTGTTGAATATTTGAGTGTTTCCCACGGGTAGAGTGACGTTTATTTGAAAGAAATCTTTGTGGTGCACAAATCGGAAATTATTTTCTTTGCTTATCCTCTAATGTGAAATCTTCCGCCGTAAGTTTTTACAGTGCTCAGAAATTATAGCGTAACTTTTGTAGATATTTTTAGATGTTTAGATTACAGTATACCGTATATACATTAAACGGGTTCAATTCTTACCAAATAGATGGGTAGACATGGTGTAATTAATCATGTCATTAACTGATCAAACGTGTAGAAACACTTTTGGGACAATAAAATGCTTTTGATTTTAAAATATTTTGTTCAGTGATTTTTAAATATTCAAATTTAAAACAATTAAAAATCGAAAGCAGACACAGCACTCACAACAACGCTCCGTTGTTGTACATTTTCCCAATCATTATTTTGAATAAATCTGGCAGGTATGGGATAACTTTTTTTCCAAATAAATGCTAATCATTGTTCATACTTACTATATACCCGTAACATTAAATAGCATTTTTCTTGATATTATTAATGAAGTGGCATATTATCAGACCAGTAATTTCCACGAAAGCAATTTCCTTGGGAAAATTATAATATTGTATTGTTCATTTGATTTTGCATAATGAAGTTCCAGAATACATTCTTGCGGGTCAAATAAATCGATGCGACAATATAATTCAATATAAAATATTAATAGGGAGGGATAAAGCCAGTTAATGATATTTATGGTTGAGATATATCTAGAAAGGTGTAAGTATTCAGGTACAAGACAAAGCGTGCAAGAAAATTAACTTTCGAATTGTAGAAATGTCACATTGAGTTAATCAGTATCGAAAAAAGGCATTTTAAATCTAGGAGGAAAAAAAATAATAGTGCCGACTTCGTATCAGGGTGGTGAAACTCACCAGAAATTGATCAGCATGGGTTAGCAACTTAGCATACAGTTTTTCATAATCACCCAAAGAGAAGAAAGTTTATATGAGGAACTGTTCAGACTGCTAGGCTAACGCTAACCAATTAAAGTTTCAGCGATAGAACTTTAATAGTGGCCATGCATTTATTTTCGCAGCGAACGTACATCTTGCTCGTTTTTATTCTCGTTATTAGAACATTTTTTAAAATGGTGAGTTTATATATTGAAACTATCAGGCAAAGTTATATTTCAATTATACTGTGAGAACACAATTTCGTTTTCGACATATTTATCTAGTGCTATTTCTCTATCGTTCTGTTGTAAAATTCCACATAATTCGATGCAATTTCAAATCAATCGTAAATTTTCGGTAATCGGTCGGAGATTTTATTTCACAGTTCGTATCATACTCACGAAGTACACAACAATAAAATCGCAGCTCATTTACTGGAATTTCGAGTTAATAGTATGAGTACTTTTCCAAATACTCTCGTACAGAATTCAAAATAAACTTTTATTCATATTTTCACACCAACTACGAAATTCTCCTCAGCTGGTTCAAGTCACACTCAGGTCAAGGAGGTCGCGTTCTGTGATCTTCAACGTACAAGCGGTTTTAAATGCCTACGTGCTCGCATCTGTTTCTGGTACATAGTTAGGTATATATTTATATTAATGCGTATGCGTCCATTCAAATCTTATGGGACGTATTTAAATGTTACATCGCATTCATCGACTGTGGTAATTTAAATTTAGAATGAGTGAATTAGACGTTGAACGAGCAACACTACGCCATTTTATTTGAACCCACAAAACGCAAAATGCAGTGCGTGGATGCGACACTCACGCGATTGAAGGCTAAACATATATATTAAGGGAAATAATCTTCACAACATACAAAGTTGCAACAACGGCACCATTCACACAAATCTGCAAACTTCATCTTCGATTAACGGAATTTTTCAGCACTTTTAATAAATACTGCAAAGCAAGTCTGTTTTGATTTCTAACACAATTAGGTACCCATCTAAGATCTGAATCAATTCATATTTTCCTCTCTTAGTGCTGAATACAGCAGTGGGGCTTAATTGACAAATCCATGAGAAGTTATTTCTATCGGTTTGCATAATAATTTCATCAATAACATTTTAATAACAAATTGTATCATAATTTAAAGTTAAGGTCGGAAAAAATTATTGTGTATGAATAAAATGACAGGAAAGATATTTCTGTTTGCGGCTATAAGGCAATAAGCTTATGCTCGAAAGTTCGATGGTTTGGTTTCACAGTCTTAATTCGATGTTTAATAAATGATAACTTGCTGATTTTCCAAGTCTAAATTTATTGAAATTCAACCAATTTTTGAATACGCGATTAAGCATTACACAGAAATAATAGTCTTTCGCCTACGAGAAGATTTGTTATGGAGCTCGCCCGCAATCATCGTTACTTATTCAGCTCATATATAGACTAAAAAATTTATTATGTTGAGAATATTTTACTTGTATTGGTTTCGTAGAAAAGTTTACTTTTGAAATTCTGCATAATCCTACAATTATATCGGGCTTATTCTCAGCTATTTCTATTATTAATTTGTGTAACAATAAACTTATATATTGTACAATTTCTATGGCGTTCATAGTCTATATAAATATATAGTGGATTGAATGTAAATCGAGACAAAGGTAGAGTACATATTCGAGGAAAGAGGGATTTCGAGATTTTCAAATCATTCAAATTTCCCACAATGGCTGCTTTCAAGCTAAGCCGAGCATTTGGGGTAAACTGTGTGATTGAGTGCAGGAAATGCGACCCGATTCAGGACTACAGTAAATAGTTTTGTGGATTGTTTTAGATGCATGTACTTTTTTTACAATGAGCAATCAGCAAACGTTAATTTGGTAAATTCGAACATGATCTACTTTTGCCCCATCGATATTTGGCTTTCCAGTTTAGATGTACTTTGTGAGTCAACCTAAATATTCTTAGAGGGCTAGGTCTTTGTCTCTTTGTTGCAAAAAACTGATCATAGGCAGCTTCAGCATATGTTTATACACATACC